CACAAAATAGTTTCACTTTTATGTCTGAAGAAATAGCATAATATGACCTATGCTTGTCCACTGCTATGAGACTAACATCTTTTTTCCCCTTTGCTTCTTACAGATTTTTGCGTACATGAATGAAACTTCTTCCCGAAAGGAAAAATGGGATCTCCAAGCTCTTAGATTTTTATCAGTTAATTCAATAATTGACCCTTGGGTCTTTGCCATCCTTAGGCCTCCTGTTCTGAGACTGATGCGTTCAGTACTCTGTTGTCGGGTTTCATTAAAAACACAAGACGCTGCACAAACTTCCTGTTCTACACAGTCAAATTCTGGTAAACAGGCTGAACTTTGTGGACAGTAGTTAAGAAGTACTTAGTTAGCTAGCATCTGGAAGATCATTTTGAAATGATTCCTTGGAGAAATGAAAAAATTAGTGTATAAACAAAATGAAGCTACCCTAATGAAATGTAGTAAACAAACATGTAAGCGGTAGTTTGGGCCATAGATGTGTTGACAAGGCACTTCATGGAAGGTGTCAGAAAGGATCTATAAAGTCTACCCTTAATAAGGATGTTATGTGGCCCTTAGAACAGCCAACTGCATTTAAGATCTAATTGCCTTTAGATTTAATGAGAAAGCAGGTGGTTTTGCAATTTGTTTAAAACCCTAAATAGTTAGTGTCTCTTCTATTTTAAACTTCTGTGCTACTACATTATAAATGTCTATGTTACTACATTATATGGTGTACAGTCAGACCTGATAAAATTTTATTTGTATTCTCTAGGAAGTCAATATGTGGAATCAGCCAAGGCTACTGTCTCATGAGGACTTAATGAATCCTTTATTTGGACAATGAAGTTGAAAATTATAAGCACTTTTTATTATAATGTCTGTGTATGTGGGAGTACTTTCTTGTCACTACAGTATTACTGTTAGAAGAGTGGGCTTACTTCATTAACATCTTGTCAGCTTTGTTTGCTATTTCTCCAGGAGCTATGTATGAAATTGTGAGGTCATTTATTTTACAATACCCAGTTGTGCTAATGGTAATCAAGAAAACTTAAGAAATTTTCCTCTCAACAAGAAATAAGAGAAAGGTTATTAAGAGAGTAAATCCTGAGTAATGTTCTTCATTCTGTTTCCAAGGAAGGATATATATGACTGTGTCTGAAGCCAAATATTGGGGTTAAAAACTGAAAAATCTGGCCAGTACTTCAAATATACTGGGACTCTTTTAATGGTAATGTTGGGGTCATGACTAATGTATATTCTTTATGAGGGGCCTATGTTGTAGCAAAATTCATCTGTCTATATTTTTATTTAGGGAACAGAGTTTGACTTATATAGGAAATCATGTAATGGTGAGTCATAGCTTAACATATTTCTAAATGTAAATGTTTAGCATGGTGTAAACTGAACATCAAAGTATTTCAGTGAATTTGCACTGTCTAATCATAGTTACTCTGTAAATTCATCTGAAATGGTATAAAAATAAACTATAGAACAGAAGTTTGAAAGCGAAATAGCATTTAATGAACCCCCTCAAATAATATTTTATAATTAGCATAAACATAATATCTTTTAAGTGAGATGAAAATGGGAAAAATATATTTAATTTGTCAGGTTTTTAAAGGGTGATTGCATTGTAATTAGAGTTTAAAATATTCAATATAGTATTTGGTATTTACCGTTCCAGCATGATCTTTTAAATAGTGGAACCACCTTATTTTTTGAAATGAGTATAAAAAAAAAAAAAAGGATGTTAGTTTTTACCAAAGTCTTATTGAGTGGTTTCCTCTAAACCATTTCCTATAAGTAGCTATCAAACCAGATGATCATTTAGCGATTTCAAACCAATCTAGGCGTCAGTGTACTTTGACACAAATAATCCATGTCAAATCAGGTCTTATGTTAAAAAGAATAAATAAATGGTTCCCTTTTCTACAAATATAAACAAGTCAGGCAAAATTTAACTGAACTAAAATCTGGACATGTAAATAAATCTTCCTTGTCCACCAAGTAATCTAAAGTTAAGATACTGTTCTAAATAGGACTAATTAGGCCCATGGGTAATTCCTACTTTGAATCTGGAATATTGACGTCTTTTATCAGATGACATTTTTTTCCCCTCCAAATGAAAATATTAACTACAGTCCTTCATCCCACCTCATCATCCAAAAAAAATTCTGGAGTGATGCCCAAGAACAACAACAAAAAAAAAAAAAAGGCAGAATTGGACATAATATCACTGGTGGGAACAAAATGATTCACTCTGGGAACCAAAATATAAGAATTTAAGCTATTTTTTGGAGAACTAGTAGATGTCTAGGTTTTGTTTCTTCATGTACTCCTGATCCTTACACTATGTTAAATTACTAAATCCTGCTTTCATTTTCACCAATATATACAGCACCAAAAACTAAACCCATTGCCGTTGAGTCAATTCTGATTCATAGCAACCCTATAGGACAGAGAAGAACTGCCCCATAGGGTTTCCAAGGAGTGGCTGGTGGATTCGAACTGCCAACCTTTTGGTTAGCAGCCGAGCTCTTAACCACCGCACCACCAAAACTCCTAATATATTCACAGTAGGAATTTAAAGAGAGAACCATATGTAATAGTCAATCATCTACTATTAATGGCAGTTTAAAAGTAGCTTAAAAAAAAGATTAGACGTAAAAATGTTACCTTTCTAAAAATTCTATTACAGCAAACACACTTGTTTAAGTTATTGACTCATTTTCAAGTTAAATAAAAGAAACACAACTTAACCTGATATATTAGAGAGCTGAACTGTGATGAAGAAAGACCTAGATTTTATTCTCAACACCCCCCACACCCCAGCCAATGGAATGAAAAGGTGGAAAGAAACTAAAGCAGATATTTACCTCAATGCCAGCCCTAACTTTAGGCATCCAGATGTAGGATGAGCCCAAGCAGTCTGTTCTGAGCTGAGTTGTTCCTGGATGGCTCACTGTGGCCCAGGTCATCTTTCCCAAGACAGAACTGGGAAATTATGGTGCTAAATTGCAGTCTCGCATCTCCAACGATCTCATAGGGACCTGTGTTTGATTAGAAGCTATAGAGAGCCTCCAGAAGACCTGAATCTCAGGGTGGTTTAGATCAGTGACAGCTTAGAGCCAGACCAGAGCTCCAGAAACCACACCAACCCCAAACCACAATGCTGGCAGAGGCCCCTGAGCCAGGAATTGTTCTAATGTTAATGTCAAGTCAGCTCTGATTTGATTCAAGAGAAGACAAAATATTCAGGTTTAGAATTTGATGAACTTGAAAGGCAGGGAAAGTCAATTAGCTCTCACTTAGGGAGAGGGTTTTTTTTTAATTTCACTTAGCTTAAGCCAAATCTAATGGTTTCCTGAGCTTGGGAAGAGTCCCTACTCAAACCATTCACAGACAGAGAAGCATTCCTCTCTGCAAATGAGTACTTAATACATGTAGACTTACAGTGCCTACTTTGGTACAGGTAGTATTGCAACTTGAATGTCTGATGACTGTCTCCTGCCTTCATCAAACACTTAGCACCACTGGATTTCCTGAGTGCACATTTGCAACATACCTCCAATCACCTAACAGCATTATAATTGAGCTATTTTTTTTTTGTTACAGCATTTTGAGTACCTGGAAAGTGCACTATGGAAATAAGTGTTATTTTAATAATTCACTAAAGCTACAGTCTAATTTATACATGGGACCAAGGCCAGGTATTGGGCATTACTTTTTATTTCAGAAAGTTTCTTTTTTTTTCTAGTAGCTTTTGTGATTTTTTTTATTGTAAGTAAATTTTCTTGAATTATTTTTGTTATTTCCTACAAAGTGTATGTACTATTAAAGATCAATTTTGGTGGTTTAATTCCGTGATCCATGTATTTTATTTTTAAAATATGCAGAGTCAAATATAGCCATTCTTTAAAAAAAAAAAATCAGTGAGTGGTCCAGCAGAGAGAAATGGCACACTCAAAAGGATAACTAAGGAACATTTATGAAAGGATTATTTACAGAGGGGTGGGCAAGGTGAAGGGAATCAACAAGGGATAATGAGAGATCCCAAGGCTAGCAACCCAGAAAGTTATTGCCACTCCTAGGCCTGAAGCAGTTACTGGAAACCAGTGAGAGCTGCAGGAGATACCACCGGACAAGAGCTGTGGTCCTCAGTAGAGAAACTGCTACTGCCAAACCACGGGGAGGAACCTGGAGGACCTCTCTTCCTACTCTTTGATCTTCTGCCTATTCCTCCCATTAGCCAAACAAAGCTGGAACCCAGAGGGCAAGGGCTGATGCAGTCCATGAAGCACAGACCGTGAGTGGAGAGTAGATCTTGAGGGGCAATTGGAGAATATACAGCATAAGTACATGAAAAATATTTTGTTTTTTTTTAATTATACCAACACAAAAATTGAAACAACAAAGTGGGCAGTCCCTCTTCTCATCTTTTACTCTAAGTAAATACACCTTAGGTATATTTAGGAGAATAGGAATCCATCTGTATGGAAGGGAGTAAAATATTATAGATTCCTTTTCCAAAATGGAAAACCTGGTGGTATAGTGGTTAAGTGCTACGGCTGCTAACCAAAAGGTTGGCAGTTCAAATCCACCAGGTGCTCGTTGGAAACCCTATGGGGCAGGTCTACTCTGTCCTATAGGGTCGCTATGAGTTGGAAATCGACTCGACAGCAAGAGGTTTTTGGATTTTTCCAAAATGCTTGACCCTGCTTCCTTGTGGCTCAACATTTACATTTACCCAACTCCACAGGCAGGATAACTAAGGAAAAGAAAGAGACTCAGACTGAAGCAACTTTCTGTTTTCCCGGCCTACAGCAGTACAGAATAATAGCTATTCTTAAGCAGACTGAGATGCAATAGCTATGTATACTGGTTTAGAAATGAAGCCTCATTTTTTTAGAAGAACCACCAGAGTGGGAAAAATCTAGAAAAGCTTCGCTTAACAGTGCTGCAGCCAGGCCATATTCCCAAACTTAACATAGCTCAGAATGGTCTACACAGCTATTATAAAGAAGAGTGTATGTAGTAATTCAGCAATTCTGCATAGTCTAAAATGCCAATTAAAATCAGGGAAAAGCAAATTTTAACAAAGTGGAAAAAGGCTGAGCAACATGCAGTTTCCAAGGCCATCACCAATGTTGCTCTTCTTCTACCACAGAATTTGTCTTTTACTCCTTCTTTACCCACCCCACTTCATCCTCTTCCATACCACACTTTTCCTAGCACAAACAGTCTTCTCTCCTCCTGCCACTGGGTCGTGTTTTCTTTGATGCACACACTCAACTTTTCTCCTTTCAATAAACTCAAGATTTAGCTAGGAATTTAAAGATCTGTCTCACTGCTGAGGTTTTCTCAGACAAGTTATTGAACCTCTCTGAGTCTCAGTTTCCTCATCTGTAAAATGAGGATAATAAAATTACCCACCTCCTTAATTATTTTGTAAGCATAGAGAGGAGGACTGAGACCAGATTCAAACAGAAGAAAAAAATAGAATGTGATTATAATGTTGACTCCACATTTGAGTACATATATATATAAGACTATCTTCAAAATTTTAAGATGGATAGATCATTTTTAATTTAAAAAATTAAATAGAAATTGAAATAAATTTTTTCTTATGCTCTCCTTGCTGAAACTAATTTTAATACTAAATTAAGATCTATTACTCTGGTATATAATTACACCTTCTAATTACATACTATGTGAGAATATATACATCCACATCAGCATTTCTAGTAATTGCATAGTATTTTTTGGTATAGATGTATCAAGATTAATTTGATCAATTCTCAGTGGTTAGACATTGGAGTTCATAACAAATGCTTCAATTGATATATTTGTAGATAACTTTTTGTACATTTCCAGTTTTGTTTATTAGAATTCATACCCTTGGATCAATGGATTATTTTTAGGGCATTTGATCAATAATCGGAGCCCTGGTGGCACACTAGTTAAGAGCTCGGTTGCTAACCAAAAGGTCAGGAGTTCAAATCCACCACCTACTTCTTGGAAACCCTATGGGGCAGTTCTATTCTGTCCTATAGGATCCTTATGAGTCAGAATCAACTTGATGGCAACAGGTTTGGTTTGGTTTGAGTTTTGATCAGTAATCTTTGATTCTCAGTTTAGTAGAATAATACAGTGAGATGAGGAATAAGAAGGCATTTCTAAATTTGGGTCAAGAATTATAGACTTCTTATAAAAAGTTGATGGAAAGAGAGATGGAGGTTGCTTAAGGAGATGCGAGGACATGGGAAGAATATTGTGTTTACAATGGGGAAGACTTAAGCATATTTGTGGGCTAAAATGAAGAAGTATAAGAGGGAGATATTGACAAGATAAGAAAAACAATTGATGGAGTTAGGTCCTAGCGTAGAGTAGGGTTGACGGGAGGTGTAATACCAAGTGCAGATGGAAGAGAAAAGGGGTGTCTTTTCTTCTAGCATAGGAAGAAAGGATAGGGGAAACAAAAAGACTAAAATGCATTTAGAAGTAGAGGGGAGGAGAGTTACAAGGATCCGCAAAACATCTCTACTGGCCCAATTTATTAGCTGTAGAAAATGACAGCATTCCTTGAAATTCACAAAATCATACAATCTTAGATTCTTCAAAGGACAAAATTTAGATATTCAACAAATATTTATTCAACACTTACTATGGTCCAGGCCCTGGGGATTTGGATGTGAACAAGACAGTGCAACTTCTGCCTCATGGAGAAGTAGAAATTAGAAAAGTAGTCACAAGTGGGTTAAGTGCTATGAAGGCAAAGTGCAGGATGTTATGGGTGAGCATAGCAGAGGAAATCAGAAAATCTGTGGTGGGGAGGAAGAATCAAGAATTACTCACTTAAGCAAGTGATATTTAAGCCAAAAGCTGATGACTAAATAGGACTTAGCTAGAAGGGAAGAGGTGGTAGCAAGGAAGCATTCCAAGCATGCATGAAGGCCCATTTGAGGATATGAAAGAAAGTAAGTTTGGGAAATAATGAGCAGAAGAAGAGTGGTGTTGGGCAAGGATGAAAAGGTAAAAGGAACAAAATAATGCAAGGTTTGTAGGCTATGTTGAGGATTTTGGACTTAAACCTAAAATAAAAGGAAGAGGGAAAGTATTTGTATCAGTTAGCTTTTGCTGTACACAAATCACCCCCAAATGTAGTAGATTAAAATGACAACTATTTATTTAGCCTATGATCCTGTGGGTCACCTGGGAAGTCTTTGGTCAGCTCGGCCAGTTCAGCTGACTTCTGTTGGGCTCACTCCTCCTAAGTCTTTAATCAGGTGGTACACAGATGATCTACAATGGCCTCAGTCACATGTCTGGAGGTTGGCTGGCTGTCAGCTGTGGAGCCTCCATTTTCCTTGTGTTCTCTCATCCTCCAGAAAGCTAGTACAGACTTGTTCACATGGTGGCAACACCTAAACAGCAGCAAGAGCAGACACTATAAAGCTTCTTGAGGCCTAGGCACAGAACACCATCACTTCTGCTGCGTTCTATTGGTCCAAGCAAATCAAATTCCAGCCCATGTACAAGGGATGGGCTCCACCTCTTCATGGGAGGAGCTGCAAAATATTGTGGCCATTTTTCAAAGCTACCACAGCAGTAGAAGTTTTTGAAATGGGGGACTAACACAATCAAATTTGTGTTTTAAAATTTTTCTTTGGGCGTCTTGTGATAAATGGATTTGAGAGTCAAGAGGGGTTGAGAGGCAGGAAGTTAGGGAGCTATCGCCAAAAAATAAGCCAGTAGTGAGAGTGGCTTAGGCTAGGGTTGTAGGGTGAGGATGTAAAGAAGTGGATGGATAAATGCATTCTTTCCACAAATACATATCGAACTCCTACTATGCTGAGTGAGAAGGATGAGTCAAGAATGACTCTCAGGTTTCTGGCTAAAAGAACCAGCTGGATAGTGATGAAATTTACTGAGAGAGGGAACACAGGAGGAGAGACAGCCTTGAGCAGAGACATATGAATTCATTTTAAGGTATGACTGAGATGCTTGGTGGGACATTCAAGTAGAAATTTGAGTAGAAATGTTTCTACATTCAAGTAGAAATGTTTGGTATAGCCTGGTGGTCTTAAGACAATGGTAAGCGGTAGATATAAATTTAATCTCTGTTGGTAATGAGTAGTAAAGGAAAGCCATAAGAGTAAATGAGGCCCCCTAGAGAGAGAACCTGAAATAAGAAAATGATAGGGGCTAGTATAGAGCCCTCAGGAACCTAGAATTTGTGAGGTCAGCTGGTTCAAACTCTTAAGTAACTGGAATTCCCTTTTTAACAAATTTGTTTGTGCTCCTTCCACCCCCATTAGCAACGTCTTTTTTTCTGTCTGCATGTCTCTACTATCCATTCTCCACCCCTAGGACACAAAACATGGCCCCCCCCTCCCCTCAATAGGGTCAAGGAGGGGCAGCGAGAGGGAGCAGCACAGTGACCTGATACATTATTCAAACAAAATATTTTGTGTGTTGGGAAACACAACTCTAATTATCATAAAGCTGAAATCTGCTTCATGTCATTTCCACACCCATCTTCTAAAGATTCTCAACATAACTCCAGTCTATGTGCCACAAGATGGCCTTTCAGGTTCCTGACACCAGCAACCAAGACTTCTCTAGGCAAAATATTCCTGATTTCCTCGGCGATTCTTTATATGACATGGTTTCTAGACACCTCACCATTCTGATGTCTTTATCCCAGTTATCAGTGCTTACCTTAATCTGTAGAGATTCTAAACCAGTCTTACCAGTACTGAGTGCTGATATGTCAGTTGCTGGCTTGACCTGGACATTATATTTCTATTAATGCAACTCAAGATTACAAAGCTTTCATAGCAACCAGGTCATACCTTTATAACCTTCAACAAATGTAAGAAGCAACAACATCCCACTTCACACAGGGGAAAACTGGGCATGCAGAAGT